CAAAAAAAAAAAGATTTCAGGACATTTCAAGTTGTGTGTGTGTGTCGATGTTTGGCATGTATACATACACTTAACAACTGAATCTTAAATGTTCTTTGAATTGATGAGTTTGTTATTCATTTTGCCATCAGTTTTATGTTGGTCCCTGCATATTTGTATTAATATGGTGGATAGTAAGAGTATTACTGAAAGCCATTCCTACTGATACTGTTGGAACAATTTAACTAGACACAGAAGTGACTGCAAATTGTACAAATATTCCCCCACTGAGTCATAATTGTTAGTCCTACACAATGTCCCTTTAGGTGGGGATTCCCATAGACACTCCCATTGTCACCCAACTGAAGGGAAAATGTGGTAGAAGAAGTCCTAGTGGAGCGAGACAGTGATCTCCACAGATTATAGTGTAAATTACCTACTTTTACCAAAAAAAAAAAAAAAAAAAATCACATGATCATGTGACTCTATTACCAGGGTCTTTCCCAGGGTATTGGAAGGGGCCTATGCAAGCAGGAAGCCCTTGATGCATGAGCTTTATTAGCTCCATGGTAGATCTACATGTGAAGGTTTACTCAACTTAATCTAGGCCTACTTCCCTGAACATGGTGAGAGGTGACAACCTGCTGGTGACCCTCGCTTGCTCTCAGTGCCTCCTCAGACTCGGGGTCCACTCTGGCCACGCTTGAGGAGCCCTTCAGCCTGCTGCTGCACTGTGGGAACCCCTCTCTGGGTTGGCTGAGGCCGGAGCCGGCTCCCTCTGCTTGCGGGGAGGTGTGGAGGCAGAGGCAGGGGCGGGAACCAGGGCTGCCAGTGGCGCTCGCAGGCCAGCGTGAATTGCGGGTGGACACGGGCTTGGTGGGCCCTGCACTGGGAGCCGCCAGCCCACCAGCCCCCGGCAGTGAGGGGCTTAGCACCCAGGCCAGCAGCTGCGCAGGTTGCACCAGGTCCCCCAGCACTGCCGGCCCGCCTGCACCACCCTCAAATTCTCACCGGGCCTCAGCTGCCTGCTGCGGGGCAGGGCTCGAGACCTGGAGCCCACCATGCCCCAGCCCCCCACAGTGGGCTCCTGCATGGCCCGAGCCTCCCTGACGGGTGCCATCCCCTCCTCTGTGGAGCCAGGTGCCATCAACCACCCAAGGGCTGAGGAGTGCAGGCGAACTGCATGGGACTGGTGGGCAGCTCTGCCCTGGTCCTGGTGTGGTATCTGATAGGGGAAGCCAGCTAGGTTCCTGAGTCAGATGGGGACTTGGAGAACTTTTATATCTAGCCTTAGGATTGTAGATGCACCAAACAGCACTCTGTATTTAGCTAATCTGGTGGGGACTTGGAGAACTTTTATGTCTAGCTAAAGGATTGTAGATGCACCAATCAGCACTCTATGTCTAGCTCAAGGTGTGTAAATGCACCAATCAGTGCTCTGTGTTTAGCTAATCTAGCGGGGACTGGGAGAAATTTTACATCTAGCTAGAGGATCGTAAATACACCAATCAGCACTCTGTGTCTAGCTCAGGGATTGTAAACGCACCAATCAGCGCTCTGTCAAAACAGACCAATCAGCTCTCTGTAAAATGGACCAATCAACAGGATGTGGGTGGGGTCAGATAAAGGAATAAAAGCAGGCTGCTGGAGCCAGCAGTAGCAATCGGCTTGGGTTCCCTTTAACACTGTGGGTTTGTTCTTCCGCTCTTTATGATAAATCTTACCGTTGCTCATTTTTGGGGTCCTTAATTTTACAGCCTTCATGAGCTGTAGCACTCACTGCAAAGGTCTGCAGCTTTGCTGCTGAAGCCAGCGAGACAACAAACCCACTGGGAGGAACGAGCAACTCCAGATGCACTGCCTTTAAGAGCTGTAACACTCACCCCAGCAGTCTGCGGCTTTATTCTTGAAGTCAGCGAGACCAAGAACCCACCAATTCCGGACACAATGGTGGCTGGCTGGGCTTCTTTCACCTGTCACTAAATGTTGAGAAATGACTGGCATTTCAATCCAACTCAGTTGTTCAGTATTTCCTCAACTTAAAAGCCTTGCCAGTTTGGGGTTCCATTCCTGCATATCCCCACCTTCATACAGTACATACAAAAAGCAGGCAAGTTTTGAGGAATGTTTCATAAGAGGAAAGTAGGTTTTGGTCCGGCCTTTCCATCTGCAGTAGAGAGGGCTTCCCTCAGTCGTGTAGGGCTGTTGTCTACATAAATAATTAGAATCACTGCAAGTCAGTATGTCAGCACCATTCTGGTAGCCCCCTCTCTTGCAGTTCCACGAAAGAAATACTGTGCTGGCCAGAAGCAGTAGTCAGCTTGTCTGGCTGCCCTCCCTGGAACAAGGGCCTGGCCTTGAGGCTTTAAGACAGCCTGATCCAGACATGAGTCCTAGTGCTCCTTGGAGCATCTGATGGCTTGCATGAGTGGGCTAGAAAGTTGGAACAAGCTATGAAGGAGAGAAACCTAGCCTGGGACTGAGGCTGGTGCAGGTCCAGGGCTAGGTCCAGGCCTGGGGTACTCTACCTGAATCCAGTCCTGGGTGTTGGAGGGGGACTTGAGACATTCTGAGGAGGGTGCTTGAAATTCACACAGGGCACCTGAGGTGTCTGTGCCCATATCTAAGAGCAATACTAGCAATGAGACTTTTTTCTTTGTTTTTTTTTTTGTTGTTTCTTTTTGTTGTTGTTGTTGTAGTAATGACTGTGAAGTGTTCAAAGATAGAACCTGTTGGAAAAGCTGAGCTTACCCTGGAATTGTTCACTGTCATTTTAATTGGCTCCATTTAAATAATTTTCCTGAAGAGTATGATGATTGAACTTTAGTGAGTGTATTTTGTCTCCAGGGATTTTGATTGCTGGCCACCCACCCCTCTGTACTCCCAACCTCATCCCCCTAGTGGGACCTTCTCTACAGTCTCTATATGAACTCCCATTCTCACCTCCTCATTCTAGTGTTCCTGTGTGGCCATCTCTGGATGTTATTTGTAAAAGATTTGAGAGATTGAAAACAAACTTCCATGTCCATTTCTCTGTCTTTGTTTAGGAAACAGGGAGGATGTTGGTGAATTGAAGCCAACAGCAAATGAGTGTGCTCATAACTTTCTTTTGCTAGTTTCCCCTCTGTTGTTAGTTCTCCCTCTTGCTAGTTTCCCCTTCTCTTGCTACTTTCCCCTCTCTTGCTAGTTTTTTCCCTCTTGCTAATTTCCCCCTCTCTTGCTAGTTTATCTTCTCTTGCTAGTTTTCCCCTCTCTTGCTAGTTTTCTCCTCTCTTGCTACTTTACCCTCTCTTGCTAATTTCCCCCTCTGGTTAGTTTCCCTCTCTTGCTAGTTTCCTCCTCTCTTGTTAGTTTCCCCTCTTTTGCTTGTGCTCTGCTTCTCATTGTCTCTGGCTGCTGTCACCTAGGGTATAGCATTTGGCCTTGCATCTGATGGTGGCAGAGCATGTGTACAAAGAATGCTTGAAGGAACTTAGTTTGGAGAATAAAAGATTTAAGGAAGACACGTGAGCTTCAAATATCTGAAGATTCATCGTGTGGAAGAGAAGAAGTCTTATTGTTTGTGACCCCAAGCAGTTAAATTGGGTCAGTGAGTAGAGGTTAGAGAAAGATTCAATTCCAGGGGAAAGAAAAACCGTTATGGTTGTCAGAAATGGAATTTGATATGTTGTGGTGACCACTTGGCAAATATTTTAGGGACCTGATTCAGACATTGGTTGGATTTGGAATTCATTCTTCTGTGGCAAGTTGAAATGAAGTATGAGGAAATCTGTGTAACAGCCCAAGGTTAGTTAACATCCTCACAGAGCAAGAACATCCCTTTTCTTTGATTTTACCTTCTCCTAGGTTCAAGTGGACCCCACCTCTGGGAACTGTACTGTGAGTCTTTGACTCTTGCATGTGGCATTTCTTCTACCCTTGTATGTTTTATTCCTGTAGCTCTGCTGCCATTCCCTGGCTGGGACCCCCTTTTATCTGCTGACTTGGTTAACTCCTCTCTCATGTGCCTCTCAAAGTCACAGCCTAACCAGGCATGCCTATCTAATCATCACCTTACCTAGGCTCAGCTTGTCTGTATGTGGCTTAAGCCAGGAGTTAGTTTGGGGACTAAGTTGTCATTAAACCCTTTCCAGTACCTGTGGTTCTGTGAATCGATAGCTCTTGCCTTATTTGGTTTGGCTGTGATTGGACAGTGGGTCCCACTGGAGGATGGCTCCTGGAATAATCTCCCCTATCATGCCCCCCTCTGACTTTTCTCTTTCATTCTCTAATTCCCTCACTAACAGAGAAACAATATATTTTAATGAGGCGTTCTGAAATAATTTCTGGTTTTCTTTTTCTGGGTTTTTTTTTTTTTTTTTTTTTTTTTTTGAGACAGAGTATCACTCTGTTACCTGGGGGCATGATCTCTACTCACTGCAACTTCCGCCTCCCAGGTTCAAGCGATTCTCCTGCCTCAGCCTCCTGAGTAGCTGGGATTACAGGCACCCACTATCATGCCCAGCTAATTTTTGTATTTTTAGTAGAGACGGGTTTTAGCATATTGGCCAGGCTGGTCTCGAACTCCTGACCTCAAATGATCTGCCTACAAGGGCCTCCCAACATACTGGAATTGTAGGTGTGGGCCACCATGCCCAGCCCTTGTTTTCATTACTAGAAAAGAATTAAGCTTTATGGTTTTGCATATTTCAAAACTATTTTACTCTATGGAATCTTCTCTTTTAGTGTGTTTTAGAAACAGAACGATAGAGGAAAAAAAAATATGATGAGACAATCAAGTTTATTCATTCTTCCTCAAATGATCTGGACTTAGTCTTATCTGCCTAGCGAAAAGTTGGGCTGTGTTCCCAACAGTGGGAGTGAAAAAGTAGCAATACCATATACCCACAGCCGAAGTGATTTCAACCCCCACCCTGAGGCCTCACAGGAGCAGACTGGACTCGTCAGCACCTGTCAGTCATGGCCTATGCTCCTTGCTAAGCCTTTTGTCTTCCTGGACCAAGATCCTTAACCTTTGTCACATCACTGATTTGGAGTACCTGCTGGATCACTTGGCAGAAGTGACACCAGCTCTGGAGTACCTCAGTCTGCTGGGCAACGTGGCCTGTCCCAACGAACTGGTCAGCTTGGAAAAGGATGAGGAAGACTACAAGAGATACAGGTGAGTGTCCAGGGATTGGAGCATGGTGGGAAAAGGGAAAAAGAGAAGCTTTAGGGGATGATATTATACTCTGGGGTACATAGTAGATGTTTGGTAAACATCAGTGGGCTTCCCATGACAATGTTAAACTTTTACCTTTTGGTAATCTACAGCCATTGTCTCTCTTGGTTGAGGTCACAAAAATTAAGAAAGATGAAAAGTTATTGCCTTGTCCACTTTTTTTGTGAAGTGCCAGATATTAAGTATTTTAATACTTAATATTAATTTAATACTTAATATTTAATACTTAATACTTAATATACAAGTTATATGGACTTGTCACAGCTACTCAGCTCTGCTTTCATAATGCAGAAGTAATCATATGTAATTTGTGAACGAATGGGCATGACTTTGTTCCAGTAAAGCTTTATTTACAAAACAGGTAGCAGGCCAGAAATGACCCATGGGCTGTAACTTGCTGACCCCTGCTCTGTGTTGTAAGATCTTTCTGTGGTCTGTCTCAGCATCACCTTGAAGAGAGAGATGACTTCCCAGCAAAATTTAGGGAGCTCATAAACAATCTAAAGATGAAGTCCCACAGGCCCATATCTCTCCACCATAGAGCTATGCTGTGGTGCCCACCAGCCATGCGCTTTGATGGGCTCCAAGTAGAAATGCTTTTCATTCTTCTGTCTACTTCTCAACCATCTGCTTTAAAAGCCCTGATCCAAAATCATTTAGAGAGTCTTTTCGGTCTTACCCATTTTACCAAAGTCACTTAATTTTCCTTCTTCATTTAAAATTGTCTGTGTTCTCATTGTGGATTGTTGTTTTGTAAATGCTTTAATGACATTTTCATGGACCTCTTTCTCCATTATGACATAAGCTCTCATTAAACACCCCACCCGAATAACTCTTAAAAATAACTTAATAAATTTTGTATATGTATATATGCATATATATACATCTATGTGTATATGTATATGTATGTGTACACACACATTCATGTACTTGTTCATTCATTCATTCATTCATGGGGCCAAGAAGCTACGTGTGAAGCCAACCATGTAGGCATGTTTTTGTTATTTTTTCTAGAATGAGGGAGGTAGAGAGGGATTGGTCTCAAGTACAGGGCTTATGAGGTTGCAAAAGGAAAAGAAAAGCTAAGAAAATTTTTTTTCTTTTCTTTGTGTACCATTAGCTCTCAAATAATTACTATTTGTTTTTTCTATTGTAACTGGTCGCATTAGCAAAAGCACTAAGACCAAGGTGTATGGGGTCAGATCAGAAGATCTGATGTGGAGTCCAGCTTTGCCAGTGAGACCTTTCAAATGGGAGGACAGTCTACATCAGTATTCCATAATCAAGGATCTGCCACTGAGTCATCCAAGGTCTTCTGATGCAGTTGGTGGCAATTACAACACAACAGTCCATAGGTGTTTCTGATGTCCAGTTGCCTTTAGAATTCGGAGACAATCTGCTCCCAACCAGTTCCATTTCTTCCTTTACTGTCTCACACCATTTCATAGATTCTATCTTGTGTATTTCTCTCACTTCTTCATGTATTTCCACATCTAGAGAATGACTTCCGGTGGGTGGAGCTGCGTTGTCTTGACTCTTGAAGCCTCATCAATACCTAAAGTAGTGCTGGATGTGAAAAAAGGGCTTGGCACCCTTTTTTTTTTTTCTGGAGGTGGCTTGAAACCACCTTTCCTTCTCAGGAACTAGGAACTTACAGGGAGATGCAGGGATATTTGGCCATCTCAGATGCCCACTGCCCATTTGGAATCAGAGCCATTTGGATGTTAACAAATGCAGCTAATAAGCAAAGGACTATGATTCAGACTCAATCCAAGTGCTGGTTATGGGTCATGAATCTTTAGGGAGGGCTGGATTCTACAAGTGTGGTCTATCTCATGGGCTAGCCTGGGCACACTCCAAGCCCATCCTCCCCACTCCAGTTCTGTTCCCTTGGAAGGAGTTGAGGGGTGGGGCTAAGGGAGGTGGTTTGTGAGTACACATATGACAAAGTTGCCATGAGAGGCTATATTCTGGAGGTCATACAAAACCAAAATCATAACTCGCAAAATTAACTTAGAAAATTTACATCATCCACAATGATGGCAAGATGCTTGCACTACGAGAGAAACAGGAACTAAGAACAGCACAAGGAACAGTAAATATGTTCCCACGTAGTTACACATTCACTGCACAGCAACTGGTTGAAGAGTGGAATGGTAGGCTGATTCTCTAGCACATTTAAATTTTTTATTCATTTAATATCTTTATTTTTTACTGTTGATTTGATGAGTGCTCACACTTGTATACGGAAGATATAGATATGTGTTTGATATAGCTCCATTCTATGGTCTGTAAGCAGATCCGCTTTGTCCTTCCTCGAGTTTGTGCTCCATTTGCCGCTGAGAAATTTTAGGGTTTTGCAATATGACTTTTGGCTCTAGAGTTCCTGTGGCATTTGTGTTTATACAAAGCAATGCAGCTGCCTTTTTTTTTCTTTTGGTAAAACATTTTCCTGGCCCTTCATCCACAAAGCATGAGGGTTGCCTTCCTTCTAGCTGTTACCCAGAGCCTAATAGTAGAGCCTCTATGTAAATTTATGTGACATTTTCACTAGAAAATTGCTTAAAAATGAATGATATTTCTACAGTTTACTGTTTTTCACTTTAAGTACATTTTCTGACAATATGTCTTCTATTAATCATTTAAGCAATACTAGGAGCCTTAAAGGACTGTATTCAGAAGCAAGAACCCATGGTTCATTTAGTGCTGTCTGAAAAAATTTCTTATTGATTGGCATCCTCTGTGGTTATGTGATGTAATATTTATAATATGTCACCCAGCCATACATCAAAACAAGTGTGTCTGTTGTTTCATTTCCATGGGAGATGTTGATTTCAAAGAGGTCAGCCCAGTTTTTAGGTCACGTTGTGGCCAACCACTGGACCAGAAATGGGAAGTGACTCGATTTGTGTAGTTATTGGAAGTGGCATCACAGAGCTTGAGTTTCTATGGAGTCTTTCCTCCCCTCCTCCTACATTCACCCCTTTCACTTCCTCACTTACCCCCTGTGCACCCAGTTGGATTTTCTTGGCACACATCCCCACCATAAAACAGGCTCATTAAACTTATATGTGAGCATGAACATACTACCAAGTTGTTGAGTAGCACCCTGGCCTCACTGGGGCAGGAGCAGAACCATGCCTGGGGTTTCTCTTTGCCATTCATCATAGTTCATGGCTGAGAAATGTCCACGGCCCTGTTATTATAGGAGCTTAAACCTGTCTGTGATTTTCAGTGTGTACACACCATGCTGCTATTTTGGGATGAATGTTGAATGGAGGTGAATGTGATAATCAGCAGCCTCCAGGATTTGGGCAGGAAGAGAACAGCAGTGCAAGTCTTGGCTGGAGAGACCACCATGCTACTAAGAAACCACTTTGGTGCCCCTTGTGGATTTCAACACTAGCCAAAATAACAAATCAATATGGGAAAGCTGGGTGCCCAGAATGGTCTATTTCTTGCTTCCCTTGCCATCTCTTTTTTTCTTTTTGCTGCAGAAAGAACAATGGACTGAAGGTTAACAGTAGACAAGTCTGGACTTCACCTTTCAGATAAGGGAGTTGATCTCATGATCTTTTAGCTCTTCCTCTGTCACTGAACCCTCTGTCGTTCATCCCCTCCTGCCACTCCAGTCTCTGGTTGGCCTTGCTTTCCTCCCTCCTCCGTGTAGGCCCTTCTGTATTCCTTACAACTTTCAGTTATTTAAAACGTGACACCCTTTCTTTGTTCCCCTGCACGGAGCAGCCCTGGGGCCTGCCCAGTGTCTGCAGCACTCAGCCAAAGGGAAGGAGGGAGGGACCCTCCGCCGTCTGGTCTCTCTGGGCTGCCACCATTTCCCAGACGAATAGGAGCTGTAAAACTTGTGGCTTACATAACCCAGTGAGCATTCTCCAGCTAATCTACAATCTGGGCTTTGAAGATCACAAGAAAGCAAAGGTCACGACCCAGAGATCAAAGTGACAGAAGCCCACAGAGTAATTGCCGGTTACCCTCTGTAGAGGGCCTTGGTCTGTCCTGTGGGTGTATTGTTTGCACAGAGACTTCAAACATGCTGCCGGTGAACTGTGAGGAAAATCAGCTGGCCTCTGCCAGTTGTCAGGCATTCATGAATGCTGTAGGTGAGCTCACCTCGGCTCATTAGAGTGGGATCATTGTCATCTCTCTGAGCATCTGCAGTTATTCCACTCATAGTGTTTGTTCATTACTTTGTGGTCTTTATTGACTTTCTCACTGTCGTCATTTACTTGGAGGTGTTGGGGGGTGGTTATATAAGGAAATTGGAATAACAAGAAAGGACAACATGGACATATTTATTGTAAGTCAACTTTGAGCCACATAGAGTTCAAGCAAGGTAACATTTGAAGGACATCATTTGGCCCATCCCCTTCACAGCATGGATAGAGAAACTGAGGCTCAGAAAGGCAGCAGAGACTGAACCAAGATCACAGGGCAAGATACACTCAGAGTCTGGCCTCTTTCCCTATGCTATTAGTCCCCAAGCTTTTTGTTACAGAAACTTCCCCTCCTTTTATTTTTCTCCCCAACGCTTTAAAAGCCTTGGTCTCTCAAATAGACTGCACTGAAGCCATTGCTAACTTTATTATTATTATGAAACAGATACATTCAGCAGTTTATCAGGGCTTCTGTTCAGCATGAGGTAACCAGTGCTATTAAATTGAGTTAATGTAATCTAGTCAACAGTGAGGAAGCATGATATTTTGTTGGCAGACTCAACTATCCCGTCAAGCTTTGTGAAAGTTTGAGAATGGCACAGATCACCCATTGCTGCCTTCGGGGTCCCAGGTAGGGCACCAAGTAGCTTGTACCATGTCTTCCTGCCTCCAAAGGATGGAAGCAAGAAGGCAGCAAGAAATAATGCAAAGAAGCATAGACTGCCATAAATGGAAGAAAATTTCCAATGACCCCATGCCCAGTTCCCT